AACTGTACACACACAGCGTCGGTGTGAGACACTGGATTCTAACTGTACACACACAGCGCCAGTGTGAGACACATGATTCAAACTGTACACACACAGCACCAGTGTGAGACACTGGATTCTAACTGTCAGACAGACAGGGAAAAAGAGGTGGAAGGGAGAGTCAATAAGTAATGAAGATATTATCAGTTTACATAGAGATGTCAGCGTCTCAGTGTCAGTGTCAGAGTATCAGAGTGCTAAAGTGTCAGAGTATCAGTACTTCAGAGTATCAGAGAGTGGATCTCCTGTCACAGTCTGAGGAACAGTGAGCCTGTCTCCCAATAATACTCCATATGTTTATATGTAAATATGTTATGATTGTGTCTTTATTGTAAATGTCTGTAGTCTTTTGTTTTATGTTAATTGTATTTGTTTTGCTTTGGCAACACTGATTTTACTTATGCCAATGAAGCACCTTGAATTGAATTGAATAGTATCAGTTTGTCAGAGTATCAGTATATTAGAGTATCAGAGAGTGTTTCAATGTCAGAGTATCAGTATATGAGAGTATCAGAGTGTTTCAGTGTGTCAGAGTATCAGAGTACCAGCGTGTCAGAGTGTGTTAGTGCATCAGACTATCAGTGTTTCAGAGCATCAGAGAGTTTCGGTGGGTCAGAATATGTGTCTCAGTGTATCATAGAGTTCAAAGTCAATTTATGGCTCACATTACACATAGACGCATCAGTGTGTCTGTGTGTATTAATACCCCTGTAGACAGTACTTCATCTAAATCTGTCTGTGTGTAGTAGTGTGTAGTGTGTAGCAGTGTGTATTAATAGCACAGATGACAGTAACTCCTCTCAGTGTGTAGCAGTGTGTATTAATAGCCAAGCTGACAGTAAGTTTCTGGGTTTTACACCCTCTGAACGAGCCAGCAGTCTGAGAGGAAGTAGACAGAGGAAGTGAGAAGACCAGTGAAGAAATTAAACATCTCTGGTCTTCACAGCACACCCTACACACGTCTGTACACCGATACTGTAACACACACAAGTGCACACCCCACACGCTCTCACTGTCACACAGCACACCATACACACATAGAAATATTCTGGCCTACACACTGAGTATACCTCTCAAATACTCAAAGAAAAACTGAGGCCTACACATAGCTTAAAATAATACACATAAATCTCTCTACAGTGACAGAGCAGTCTGAGACTCTCCAGGCTGGACTGGACTGACTGGACTGGGAGCTGGATTAGTGATTCACTGGGATTATAATCAGACTCACTGACACTGACAGAGCAGTCTGAGACTCTCCAGGCTGGACTGGTCTGATTGTACCGTGAGCTGGATTAGTGATTCACTGGGATTATAATGTGTGTACCGTGAGCCGGATTAGTGATTGAGGTTATCAACACTGTAAAATCTTCCTGATCTAATTTTGAGACATTACTGCCCCCTGGTGTCAATGACTTAGAATGACCTTTTTAATACTCTAACCTTTCTAAATGATGATGAGAGTGGCAGAACAGCAGGGATGGGAGATTAGGAGAGAGTGGAGGAGTGAAAGGAGGTGAGGAGAGCGAGAGGAGGGATAGGAGGTGAGGAGAGAGAGGAGGAGTGAAAGGAGGTGAGGAG